AAAAAAAAAAAAAAAACACAAGAGAGCTCTCTGGGGCCTCTTTTATGAGGACATTGATCCCATTTAGGAAGCCTCCACTCTCCTGACCTAATCACACCCCAAAGGTCCCACCTCCTAATACCATCACAATAGGGGTGAGGATTTTAACATAGGAATTTGAAGGGACTCAAAACATTCAGTCTGTAACAAAAGCCTTGTCTGTTGGAATGATAGGTGGTTAAATAAACTCAGGGGAAACTTGTAAAAGCCTCAGGATAGGTCTGACCCTCACAGACTGAGGAAAGGGCCAGCCAGGAGACACCAACATACACATTGTTGTCTATCTTCCTGGAACTGCATGTGACTCTTGTATGTTTGGGTGCCTTTAATAGTTTATGGCTTTTCAACACTTGTTTATTTCAAAAGCGAGAGATTTTCTATTTTTTAAAAGAATTATATTTGTTTTTTTTAAATTATTTTTATTTAACTTTATTAAATTTGACCAGAGAGAGACAGAGCGAGAGCGAGAGAGTGAAAGTGAGAAAGCAAGCCACCAGGTCTAGGACTTGAACCACAGTTGGCCATGTGGGAGTCCAGCACCCTTAATCACTATGCCATCTGCTGGCCCCAGTTATTTTTTAATTTGACTAGAGAGAGACAGAAAGGGAAAGTAAGAAAGCAAGCCACCAGGTCTAGGACTTGAACCACAGTTGGCCATGTGGGAGTCCAGCACCCTAACCCCATGCCATCTGCTGGCCCCAATTTTTCCTATTTTATAATCTGGAAGAAACAGACTCAAAAAGGAAAGTGACTGGCTGAGGTCACCTAGCCAGGACATGGCAGAGTTGGGATCCATAGGCCATTGTCTAACGCGAGCCTCCTCCTCTGCTGCTGGCTACACGTCCCAGCTGCTGCATATACTGGTGCTAACCTTGTGGTGCAGCTGACGGGACCCAGAGCAGACAAGCTTGGAGCAAAGTAGGAGCTGGAGAGGATGAGTCCCTGACACCACAGTGACAGTAACTTCCAGTGAGCAAACACTGGAATGGTGCTGGGGCTTCACTTTTTTATTTTAATTTTTTAGGGTTTTGCCTTCGGGGTGTGTGCTCTCACCAGAGACAGAGGGAAAGTGAGAAATTATAACAGGTCTCTGATTTTAGAGATCTAGACCTAAAAAAAAATAAGTTTACAGAGTGCTCAGCACTTTCCCATTCTATAAGTCACCCCCCAGGGGATGGCCACCCTACAATCCCTTCTCCATTCTCCTCTTGGGATCTTAGGCGCGCGCGCACACACACACACACACACACACACACGCACCTGGTGTGATTTTCAAGTGGCTGCGTCTGGGGCTCAAACTGCAGTTGGCCATGTGGGAGTTCAGTTGCCTTGTCATGAGTCCCTTTTACATCCCCATGAGATGGGAGTCATTCTGATTTTACAGGTGTCAAGAAGCTAAACAGGGCCGAGTCCATGTAGCTAGTTTAAACCAGATTTCAAATTGTTGAGTTCCTGGCCAGTGCCTTTAACCAGGCCCTACCACAGTCCACAGTCCACAGCCCCTCCTGCCCACATGCCCTCAGTGATTGGCCTAGGAGGCCTGGAGACAGGCTTGGCTGCAGTGTCTGGTCTACAACCGAGACTTAGAATATGGTGACCTGTTTTCCTTCTGGTGTCCCAAATGCCCATTCAGTTCCTGAAGAGCCACAGTTAGCTCAGCGCTGAGACGAGCCTTTCTACCGTTTCTACACGTACCGCGTGTGGCATGTGTCCTGTGAGGACAGGAAGGGGGATCCCAGTGGCAGAGCCTGCCTTGCGGCTCAGGTTGTAGGCGATGGCTCCTGATCCTGACAGCCAGAGCCGAGGCCTCCGTCCCCAGGGCACTGGTGGGCCCACTGTTCACACGCTTGGTTTATTCGCTTTTTAAAAAGTTTATTTTTCCCATGACAGAAAGTGACATAGAGGCAGGCACCCACCAAAGGGTCCATCCCCAGCCTCAGCCCGCCTGGATCATGGGCACACACATGTCCAGTGCACACAGGGAGGCCCTGGGATAGAAGCCCAGGACCTGCGTGTGTGGGCCCAGCACTGCAGAGCATCACGTGACTGCGGCACCACCGGCTGGCCCCTTGTTAGCTTTCTTTTCTGCATTGGTTTGGGTTCGAGTGCAGGAGGCAGGGAGTCTTAAAATCAATTTAACACTGCCAGTGAAAAGTTGTACTGCTGCTCGGGGAAGAAAATGCCTTATCGCTGAAGCTCAGAGCTGGCTAGGGCAGGGCGGGGTGACCTGGGGACTCCACCCTTCCTGAAGAGGTAAAAGGGCAGTGCAGGAGAGGCAAGTGACCCATCCAGCTCTGCAGGGGAGCCTTCTGGAGGATTTCCTGCTAAACTCAGAAGGGCAGGGCGGGGGAGCGAAAGGGGAGGAAGGAAGGTGACCCTTGGAAGCCAGACGGAAGTGAAGTGACGATGATTGCCTCCAAACAGCGGCGAAGGGAGGCAGTCACACACCCTGGCTCTGCAATCCCTCCAGGATGGCACGGAGGATGGCCGCAGCTGCCACGGCCCCGGGGTCTGGCTGCTCCAGCCGCGCAGAGCTGATGTAACTGGCTCTTCCGGCTCCCGCTTCCATATTCTTGGTGGCCTCGGCGGCGGCTTCTGCACTCTGGGGGGCGAGAGGGTGGGGGCTAGGTG